TTGTTTTTCCTGAAGCAGTACCTAAAAGTGAAAATTAATAAAAAGAGTATTCATCGGCAATGTATTTATTAGACTTTATAATGTTACAAAACACCTTTTATTTCAATAAAACAAGAGCTGTATTCATCTTTGATACAAGCAAAACTGATACAGTGTTTCTTTGATTTGCCTTTTACCTGTATGAACTGTTTAGATCATCTTAGATGAACTAAACACATCCTTAAACTTGAGTTATAGATAAAATGTTACTCCAGCGAAATAACTAACCACTTTTTAAAAGGGTAAAGTATAAGTCTCATAGATAAGATTAATGCAGGATGTATGGTATAACTGCAGTAAAGAAGATAACACAGTCTATCTTCTTTTAACATTTATTCAAATGTCTTGTCAAAAATAAAAAATAAAAAAGCAGAGCACTGTTAATGAAAAGCTACTTTGTACCTTATAGATTGAACAATAGAATAGTAGGAGTGTGAAGTGTGTTGTATAAAATTGCTGCTTCTGTACAGGGCTTGGATTGAAATATTGCATGATATTAACTTATACTAACTGATGCTTTAATGTCTGCAAGCAGGAAGGGTTTATTTATTTATTTATTTGGGAGTGGGGAGTTGTTTGATTTAAATAGACCATACATAAGGGACCCGAGGGAGATGACCATTGTACCTTGATGCATTTGGGGAACATCTTACTTAACAAAATACCAGGCAGAAAGGAACTGCAACAAATTGGATAGGCAAAAGCAAAGCCAGTGAAACTCTTCCTCTCAGACATTCTCTGGAGCTTCTACATTCTGAGAAGCAGCAGCTGGAGAGCTGTTCTTTCTTTCGTTGGCTTCTTTCTTCGTATGGACGGAATCTTTGGGTGTTTCTCTACTGCAGACTTTAGTAGAATCCTCTTCAGCTGCAGCTGCCTTATTGTTCGTAGCTTCTGAAGGAGGCCTGGGGGATGGCAGAGCTTTGAGGCTCTGCCGCCTCGCAGGCTGGGGAGGGAGTGGTGGTGGCACACCTGGGGCTCGTGCTGGTCCCCCTACTGTTCTTCGGGGCAAGGCTTTAGGGATGGAGGGAGACTCTGGAGGAGGAGGAGGAGCCATGTTCCGGTGAACAGGGGGCGTGGTTTGAGGGTGGGGTGGAGGCACGGTAGGTCTGGGTGGAGCCACTCGCTTAGCTGTAAAGGAGAATGAAAGAAGGAGAAGTAAAATCCAATATTTTAGACATTCTTTATTCTAACTCCTGCGTCTCAGCTCTGCATGAATCCAGAAAAAATGCTGTCACAGTTGATATAAGAGTCTCTTTTAATTATTTTCTTTCTATGTATTTGTCTTTGTATCTGTTTTTCAAAACTGAAATAAAATTATTTCTAAAAGTGCTGGCTTTTTATATGTGTTATTTATATGTGTTTAACTGCATAAGGTGGTTCTAACAATGCAGAGTAAACTGAAATCTGAAATCTATATTTAAGACAGATTATACCCAACCGTATCAATCTGCAATATGAATTTTCTACATATGTTTCCCTCTATTTTATTTAGTATTGTCACTTAAAGTACATACAGAGTTATGCACTGGTTAGTCAACCTTGAATATGCCATGGATTTTCTGAACAGGACAGTAAAACAAAAGACAGCTATGAATAGCAGAATGGTAGGGAAGTAAACAGAATGAAACAGCCAACAGGTACTATGGCATTGCATATTTCCAGATAGTTTCTAATTCTGTCAATGAAAATATATTGTGCCATTATTCCATTACTCCTTATTTAGCTGATTTTTCTTTTATTAAAAAAATGTAAGAAGTAGGAAAGGTATCAATATAAGATGTTATCATCAGGTCTCTGTAAAATTCAGAGGAATACTGATTGCACAACTAAAATCTTTTGAATCTCCCAAGCTACAAGCTATGTTTTCAGAATACAAAATAGTACCACTGTCGTGTCCTTAATGCAAGTATCTTGCTACAATCCCATTTGAAGAGTTCTTCAATCACGTGGGAACATTGGCAGTTGGTGTCAATAAGAGAGGTAAAATGATTACTATGAAACTTACTTTTTCGTGAGGTCTCATCAGCAGAAAGAGAGGTAGGTGGGCAGATTGTTGTTTCAGTAGATGACTGGGTCACTTTTGAGGACACTGTTTCTGGAATAACCTCAGCATTTTTCCTGCCAATGTGGAAAAGTCTTATAAATTCTCATTTGTCCAAAAACAATTAGTATACAGAGAAATTCCAGAAATATGTCCATTCTTAATCCTTTGTTATCAACCACAAGCCACTAAAATGGGGGCTGACCTGTATTTCGGGAAGATTAGAGTGAAGTTTATACTCCATTTACTGACAAACAAAGAACAGCTGAATGTTGCTTTGTGCATCCCAAAGAAGATTTTAAGTTTTAAAAACTGATTCCCAAATTGTGGTTTCTCCTTTTTCTCTTTTGCTAATCAGTTTTTCTTTGGGATTATTTTTTAACGTAAGCTTGAGGGAGGGACCATTAGTCCTGCTTTTTATATGCTACTGACTATTGGTATTACAAGGTCAGGTTAAAATAGCAATAGCAATAGCACTTAGACTTATATACCACTTTGCAGTGCTTTACAGCCCTCTCTAAGCGGTTTACAGAGTCAGCATATTGCCGCCAACAATTTGGGGATGGAAGGCTGAGTCAATCTTGAGCCTGGTGAGATTTGAACTGTGAAATTGCAGGCAGTCGGCAGGCAGCAGAA